CGCGCCCCCGTACTGCGCGCCCCCGCAGCCCGCGCCCGCCACAGACCTGCACAAGTCTAGGTGAGCGCTCACACACTTTGACTGTTCTTAGACTCGACTCGTTCTATATGCCGCTGTAACGATTTTATTTACCCTTAAACGGTTTCTTATTTCATTTAATAATTTTCTGTTAAATAATGGAAATAACGTATTTTGGAGCAGAAAGCGCCTCCCCTTCTGCCCGCAAATAGTGGCGCAACTAAACAGTTGCCTCTATGGCCAACGCACCGACGCCACGTGGGCAGCTGTGTGTGTGTGTGTGTGTGTACAATACATAAACAAACTTGACAAAGTACCACTCGTTGGTTATATAGTTGTGCGTAAGTACAAGTTCCTCACGCAGGGACTGCTCCAGCCACGGGAGCTTATTTCGCACTTCCCCCGTATCAGTCAATTGTAATATTTTTAAAACATTACCACGCCTATAAAACGTTAGCTTTTGAAAAATGTTCGTTTATTACCTTGTCTTGACCGTAAACACGTTTACGTGTGAAACATTCACTAAGGGATATTGCGCCTCGCATTTAGATTACTCTTCTCTTTTGTCATATATAGTTTTTCACATGTAGGCGCGGCTGGGAGACGCCGAACTCACTGAGCTGTACAATGAGCCTTCATACATAATGGTTATATTTAATAAACTAAAAATGACAGCTTACTCACGTAAATAAACTGAGAAAAGCTCTACTAGTTTCGAGTCATAGAGAGACTCTTCCTCATAGCAGCGCGTGAGTGGTCGCGGCGATGTCGCGCAGCCTAGGTTTTATTTAGGTGGCCACGTTGGTTTTGTGGATTCATTTTAGTAAATTGTAATTGTACCCCCTTCCTGCCGACGGATCGGTCAAATGTTTGGCACACATTCTTAATTTTGATACTGTATGTATAATCTAATTGTTTCCACAACTACCTCCATAATGGATATCAACGTCAAGGTTGATTGGTAGAATAAGGTTCATGAAAATCGTTTACAAATGACTGTTACTTGTATAAAAGTATTAATATAACGAAGTATTAATCATTCATTATTTGTACTTGATACATACGTGGCGAGTCGTTCGCACCATGGCGCGACTACTGTCTGTCCGGCGAGCGAGTCGAGTACAGGAGTAGTGAGTGCATCTGTCAGCCGCCGTCTGTTGTAGCTCGGAGTCCACCGTGGGCGACAGGAAGCCGCCGGCCGGCGCGCGCAGGTGAGTGGGCCGCAGGGGGCGGTGGGGCGGTGGGGCGGCCGCCCGGGCCGGTCTGTACACTGTGTCTGTTGCAGCGCCGCCCTCGGCCGCATGAGCACGCAGCCCATCAACATCCCCGGCTCCCCGCAGCGACAGAGCTCCTCCAGCACCACCGACGACGACGACATGCTGCTCATCGTGCCCGAGGTGAGACCGCCCCCCGCCCCGCCCCGGCCCTCGTCCTACTGCGGCCGCTGTAGCGCGCGTGTTGCAGGGCAAGTCTCGGCACCCGGTGCGCCGCTCCAACTCCTCGCCTGAGATGTCGTCCTCGTGGAAGGCCAGTGTGGCGGCCAGCGTGGCGGCCAGCGCGGCGGCCAGCGGGGCGGCCAGTGCGGCGGCCGACACGGCGGCGCCCGCGGCCGACCTGCCCGTGGACCCCGACGACATGATCCTGCTGCCCAGCTGCGAGCCGACGTGAGTAGTGGGGCGATGGAGGGCTGGCGCG